AATCCCCCAGGGGGGATTGGAAAGATGACTCCCGTCCGACGACCCCTTGACCAAAATGGGAGTCATGGGCGAATTTTAGGGAGTCGTTTTTCCAACCCCCTAAAAAAATGACCTTCAAAAGCAAATAAAAAAAGTTACAAAAAAAAACCTAAAACTGTTTATACAAGTCTTGGCTGCAGTGGGCACATCTGGCAGCATAGTGTTGGCCAGGCGGTTCCCAAAGGGAAATCCCCACAAGGGAGACTTTGTCCCTAACTTAACCAAGTCCCTCCCATTGGAGGGGGGACACCATCCCACAGGGACTTATGCGCAAGGTCAACCTGCCTGCTTGAGAGCATGAGAATTAGACTTTTTTTGATTCACCTTGTCAGATTCATCTTTTAACATTGGTAGATAAAGTCACCCACCAAATGGAGGGGCTTTTTCAGGAGATTTGATCACTTAGCTGAATGAGCTGGTGAGGTACCTCATTGCCTGCCCACTGAGCTTTTCATGACTGCATTGCTCTGAGTTCTTTTGGAGGTGTCTCCTGTACTGGGTGCCTCAATGAAACCACATGTTATCGTGAATACATCTCACTAGTGTTGAAGATCCTAGAAACTCAGGAAGATACAGGAAGATACAAAGGCCATCTTCCATGGCCCCAAAGACAAGGAAAGAGTGATTTTCAATCATGCTGATGAGCTGGCAACACAGGAAGGGGCTAGGAAGATAGAGACCAGCTGTGTGGCGATTAAGAAAATTCAATCATACAAAATTGAGTCAGGATGATTACAAAAATGTCCCAGCCAAATTTTCTGATGCTTTCAGGCTGCAGGGTTGCCTTTCCATGTAAGTCCCTCCCTGTGGTTGGCGCAATGCAACAAGTGGTTTAGAGTATCTCCAACGGACCCGCAATTGGGCCACCGGGGGCAAACTTTGACCACCCGGGTTCAATTTTAAACCTCCAACAGACCCGCGGATCAACCCTGAAAACATTGCGGGGGGAAGTCAAACCTGCAATGACCTGCTGACTTCCGCGGGTCACCTCCCAGCCGCAATTCAACTCTTCCTCTCCAATCACCATCACCACACCTCCATTGACCAATTGAACACACCTCCACACCAACACACAAACGGCAGCCACCAAGAATAGTCGGATCGTGCCTTTTTCAAGTGGATTATTTGATTGTTTCTTTTATTTTGTTGGATGAACATATCGTGATGAAATTTGAGTTGGTGAGGGGAAAAAAGGTTGGCAATGCCAAAGGCAGACAATGTCTGAAGATACTATTTTGTTCCAGCTGAGCGGGCTGGAGTGTGCACAAGGTGGACTGAGACAAGGCTTAAGTGTCATTTTCTTATTATCTAGAGCTCTTTAAATAATCTAGATACACAGATGACCAAGTTGTGTAACAGTAGTTGGAGCATAATGAATAAGAATAAAAACAACAGTTTTTTACTTGGAAGAAAAAGAGCAACATGTGAGAGAAATAAAGGAGAAACAGAGAGATGTCAAGTGAAATTCCAACATATTGTTTCTTCATTTTTTGATTTGATAATCAGATTGTTTCTGTCTTGCTCTCTCATCACTCTAAGATAACTCAATCAAAAACAGTTTTCATATTTTGCATTCCCTTTCCACTAATTTTTGTCTTGCTTTCTTAAACAAACTGGAAAATAAACAAGAGAAAACAATAAAGTGAAATTGCAAGTGATCAAGGAACTGATCAAGTGAGATTACAAGTGAGTGAGAAAACAATAAAAACAACAAAGTGACATTGCAAGCAAGAAAAAAAAGAGTAACAACAATATCATAAGGGGCTTGGTTAAACGACTCCCAAAAAGTGGAGAGCCGATGTAGTGTGCCAAATGTGTTTCAAGTACCAAATTGCATAAAGTCATGATCCACTCTTGATAATAGGCTAGATTCTTGGTTTTATTATTACTTCAATAGATTCTACAGGTCATTTAACCCATAGTCACTCACTGGAACCACTAGGCTAGCTCCACTCAGTCAAAAGTTATTTGGATAAATCAGTTTTTTTATTACAGAATAGTATAGTTGTCCTGGGTAGTACATAGTATAGATTTATATATAAGTGCATAGTTGAAATCTTTGTTTGTACACGGGCATATGTATGATCACATGCATGATCACACACTTGGATCACACGTATTTTCACATGACATCACCAGCCACATGCTTGGATCACATGTACTTTCACAACAGACCAGCAAAAATGCCTCAAAATAGAAAGAACATTCCACAACATGTGTGATTTTCTGTATGGGGAAGTGCAGATCACATGACACACCAGCAAAAATGGCTCAATAGAAGCTTCCAAGCAGCAAAAATCCCTCAAAGAAGAAGTCACATCAGCATAAATCCCTCACAAGACATCCTCACTAGCTAAAATCCCTCACATTTTACTATATAAAGAGGTCATTTCTCCCTCCTCAGATCAGTTCCTCATGCCAATCCGGCCAACGCTGGGCCAGCTACGCTAACCGTAGCCTTAGCGTGGCGTAGCGCAGCGGAAATGCGCTACTTTGTAGTGTAGCGTTAGCAAAAAATCCACCTTTCTGCGCTAACGCTACGCGCAAAGGGCACAAAAGTGCGTTAGCTGTTAGTGTAGCGTTAGCGCAGAAAGTTGGAATTGCGCTAACGCTACGCGCTCAGGGCACAAAAAAGTGCCCGCTACGCCGCGCTACAGGGCTTTTTAGCGGGTTTTTTGCCTTTTTTGCCGCTAAAAGCACTGTAGCGCAGCGTAGCGGCTGTAGTGATGCGCTAACACTACCCAAAAACAAGCCGCCTGTTAGTGGGGCTACAGCTTAGCGTAGCGGCACGCTAACACTACAGAAAAAAGGGCCCGTTTTAGAGCCGCTACGCTAACGCTAAGTGGCCCTTTAGCGTAGCTACTAGCGGCCCAGAGTTGATCCGGCACATCTACCAGCTACACACATCCCACTCAGAGTCTTCCAGTCAAATTAAGGCAAAATCCAGCAGTGTGATCTCAATCAGGTCTCCCATCAACATCTTCCATACCTCAGGAAGCATAGAAGAATTCAAGTAGCAAGTATCACCCCTTGTGCTCTTAACAAGTCAAAGTGATCTCAACCCATTTGTTCTCTTAACTGAAGGCTAAGGAGAAGGGCAAAGACACTTTGAATAGTTCATATTTATCATCATTTTCCTCTCAGTCTTTTCCCATGTCAAAATTTACTTTACTTTACTCATATAAACATATATAAACATACAAAAATATCTCCCAGCTTTTCAAATCTTCCCATTATCTGATTCCAGCCTGCTGTAACCCACACCAAATTCTTTCCAATCAAAATTCCACTAAGTCTCAGCTGATTTCACGTTGATCTAGGTTTGATAAGAGACTGCTACATATAGTTTTCTCCATCAACAGTTTTTGCCAAAACAAAAAAAATAAATTTGTTTTCAGAATTCCAGTGTAGTACATCAGAGGGGCAGGTCTTTCAAACCACCCGTAACAGTTGTAATAAATTCATAGATACCTGAAATATCATAACTGCTATTTCCCCCTTGCAGGACTGCCATCCATCCCAAAGGAGTTCTCACACCAACTTCCAAGCCCCGGATTCCCCAAAAAATGGGAGTTGAACTCCCAAAACCATTGATTGGTTTGGGAGTTGACTCCCTAAGAAAAATAATAATAAAAATCAAAATCCCCGGTTGGTTTGGGAGCTGTCCTCCCAAACCAACCAGGGTTTGGGAGTTGTCCTCCCAAACCAACCAGGGTTTGGGGGTTGATGACCCAAAAGAGCCCAGGGCAGAGGATTCCTCCCGGCCGCTGAGGTACA